ACACACTGGGTAAGGCACTGGCGCCCTGCTCCGTCACTCACTGCCTGCAGACTGCTGGACAATGTCCAATGTGGGGGCTCCCTGACACTATTTCTATCATCTGAAGCCCCTAGGTCTTTGGCTGTGTTATAAAGGGGTGGCCAGTTTCTATATGCATGGACTGATGATTTAGAAGGTAAGAAGGAATTCAGAAAGCATCTTTTTTTAAGAAAATAAAGAAGAGCAGGTAAAGTATCCAGCAGCCCTTGTGTTCGCTGCGGCCTCATATACAACAGCAGAGTTGTTGGATGCAACAGAGTTGGTCATGACCTCAGTGTGCATCACAAAGACCTCATAAAGATGTGTGTGCACGTGCACATATGCACACATACTGGAATACTAATCGATTACTTTTTTATAAAGCCTACCACTGGTAATGTGAATGGACACAGAGTATGGAAGAAGACAAACCCCTTATGCTTTTGGTGACGCAACACATAAGGAAACCAATGCATAAAACAAAAGTAAGCTTTGACACGACAGGACCAAATTAGTGGTTACCAGAAGGGAGGAGAGATGTGGTAAACTGGGCAAGAAGGTATGGTGAAGGATAGAATTGGGCTTCTAGTGGGAACATAATGCAGTATAGACGTGCTGATTTATAAGAATGCATACCTGGAACTCACATCATGTCATGTTGCTTCAATTAAACACACACACATTTGGCCTCGACCATAAAAAAGTCCACAGGCACCAGTTCCCAGAATTGGTGTTCTGACCTACGTTCCAAAGAAAAGATGAGCAGGAAATCTCAGGAAGTCAAGTGGAGACGACCCACCATGTGATGCGGCGGGGAGAGCGGATGTTAAGGGCGGGCCCAGAAATCTCGGCCTTTCCTGTGTCTCTGCTGGGAAAGGGCGGACCCAATCCAGTGGGAAAAATCACTCAGGGTCTCAAAAGCAGCAGTTTAGGGGCAGCACTCACCAAGGGGGCTCCTTCCTTCCCTGTTCTGTTAAAATATCCTTCTTGGGGGTACACTTAAGTGCTCAGCTTAGAGGTTGGGGAACATTTCTTGAGAAGGTAAGGAGATTGTTCATGGATGTTTCAGGTCACAAAACCCTAGAAAAAGTTCCTCCTGTCTGTAACTTTAAAGTAACATACCTTGCCTGACTTGGAATTGTACGACAAAGTAAAAACTATTCATTAAGAGTCATTAAAACAGTCTCAGCTAAGTCCTGGCACACGTTCCTCAAGTCCTCAGTTGTCAGCCCTACACCACTGGCTCATGCTTAGCTAGAACTACCAGGTACCAGTTAGTCACACTGCTCAACCACTGGCTTATCTCACCTCAAGTAAAACTTGCAGATTTAGATAGTCACACCATACCTGAAGGTTCACTCCTTCCTAACCTTCTCACTGGCTCCTCTCTACCACTGCCCCTTAAACACTGAGGTTACAGATCCCGTCTTCCATCTTCCTTTCGCCCTCATCCCTAATCAATGTCCACTCCCCTTCTCACTCTCATGCTACAGTGAGCATCTCTAACCTCTCTCCTGAATTCCATACCCATGAAGTCAGCTGCAAGGTATCTGCTACCTTCTGAAAGCCTCCCTGGCCCTTCAAAGTTCACTCTAAAGTCACCCTTCACTGCATAGCTGCATATCTAACACCCTTAATGGTACAGAACTGGAAACTACAGCTCTTGGGAAATGCACATTATTTGCCACCTCTAAGGCTCAGTACAAGCCACTTCCTTTGCCTAAATACTCCTCTCCCCTTTGTCAATCCTTTGTTGTCTTCACACCCAGTTTAAAAGCCACTTCCTCTGTCTTGTCCTTATGTTACCCCTGTCCTTGTCCCTTGAGAGGGTCAATAATTCCTCCTTGACAGTGAGCTAAGTGTTCATTTACATGTCCCTTTCCTACACTGAATAACACAGGAGACCACATCTTTTCATCTTTGTATTTGCGCAAGTCAAGCAAAGGGAAAGCTTCTGGCAAGTACTTGCTGAGTTGAACTGTATAGGAATTCGAATTTCCTCATCTCCTTCCAGCATCACAAATGCATCTTGGGTGAATAATAATTACGTCTGGTATTATGGTCTTATTCAGGTAAGTAATTTTTTAAAATATCGTTATAATGATTATTATCTTATGTTGCTGATTCACGCTGCAATGTGGGTAGGAAATACACTGCACCCTGATGGTGCCCTCCCATGCTGGTGTTTCGATCACATCAGAATAATGTGGATACTAAAAATGTGGGGCTTAAAGAGTAAAAGTCCCTTGTTAATGGGAAGTAGGAGAAAAATGGGGAAAGGCAAGATGTTGTCTAGCTCCTAACCTTAAACTGGGAGTCAGGAAAATCTGTATTCTGTTCCCAGGGTTTCTATATTTTTTTAATCATGATATTAGATACAGAACATAAAATTTATCTTAGCCATTTGTAAGTGTCTAGTTCAATGACAGTAAAATACATTCAGGTGACTATGCAGCTATCTCCACTATCTATATCCAGACATTCTTCATTTTCTAAAACAAGCTCCCTACCCTTTACACACCAACACACTTCCCCCGGCCTCTGAAAACCACCATTTCACCTTTTGTCCCTATGGCTGTTATTATTCTAGGTATCTCACCTAAGTGGAATCATACATGTGAACTTTTGTGTTTGTCCTATTTCATTAAACACATCTTTAGGCTCATCCGTGTTATACCATGTATCAGAATTTCCTTCCTTTCGAGCCTGAATAGTAAACCATTGTAGGAACATGCCATATTTTCCTTACCCATCATCTGTTGATGGGCACTCCCACCTTTTCCATATTATGACTAATGTTGCTATGGGCCTTGGTACACAAACATCTGCTCAAGTTACTGCTTTAAATCCTTTTGGCTACATATCCAGAAAAGGAATTTCTGGATCACATAGTAGTATCATTTTCCTCAGTTTTTTGAGGGACATTGTTTCCTAGATTTTATATCTCCATAAGTGATGTATACAGATTCCAATTACTTAAGTAAGGTGCTAAATGCCCTTTGGTGAGTTTTAACTTCTCTGGACCTCAGTTTACTTCCCTATAAAGTGAAAGAATTGAAATGGATAATCTTTAAGGTTTCTTCTAGCAATAAATTATTATATTGGTCTAGTTAAATCAAACTGCAATTAGAGCTGGAAAGGAGTCAGCAAAATTAGCTGGGGCCAATCTAGTTAGCACACTTCCTTTCCAGAAGTTATCAAATATGAGAACACAAGTCCACAAACAAGTCCTTTTCCTTGAATTCTTGTTCACATATTTTATAAGCCATATTCTTAGTTTCCTCAGTCTAAAATTTTCTACTCAATATATAAAATGTTCTTATGAAAACATGTTAGACAAGAAATATTTGGTAGAATTCAAATGTATTTCACTTTTAATTTTTTTTATAGATTTATTTTTATTTATGCATACAGAACTGGGGGGCAGGCCAGAGGTGCAGGGGCAGTGAGAGGCTTCACCAGAGACAGAGTGGGGAGTAGAACAGACAGACCAATGAGTATACTGCTGAGGGGAGCAGCAGGTGGGCCAGAAGAGGTCTGCTGTGCCATGTGGGTCATCTCTGGGTTCAGGGATCGAACATGCACTGAGGCGGATGCACTGAGGCGGCTGCGGCCAGCCTGCAGTGCTACGTCCTAACCCGTTGCGCCACCAGGGAGGGCCATATTTCACTTTAAATTCTAAATGAGATTAGTGCTCCTCGCTATCAGGAGATAATTGGCACTTGAAGTTGAGAATCAAGTTTTGCATTATGTTTTCTGTTGCCTAAGAAGGCTTTCTGTGAGTAGCTCTCATTTTGTGATGTGGAAAATTGTCAGGGACAATCATGCCTTCAGCCCTAGTACATAGAGATCCCTAGACAAAATGTTCATGAAATAGCACTGACTGTATGACTAGAGATTTCTACAGAGGGAAATCTTCCAGCAAAAAATATTCAAATTTAGTTTTTTTTTTTTTGTCTCAGGCCACAGAACAGGACAGGACTTAGGTAAAGTAATTCTTAACCCTGGAAACTATCCAACAAAAAGAGTATTGTTCTGATTTTCCCTTCTTGAAGAACTGATCTTCCGTTGATTTCTACCCCCCACCCTGCATATATAGTTGGTGATAACATATGGTTTTCAAACTCAACTAGTATGTTATAAATTACATGGACTTGCTTATTTTCAATTTGAAAGTATTAAATTCATATTTCTTCTTCATTTCAAATAAGGCTTCCATCAAGGTGTCTTACAGGCATGCAAAACAGATTTTCAACATCGTGCACTGCCACACTACACCTGAAACCCACAGCTGCCTTCTGGTTAGTAGAGGGATGACATAAAGCAAGGGCTCAGCAGCTATTTGTGACACCTCCCTGCTCCTCCCCCAGCAGGAGGGAAAGGCCATCTTCCTGACCCTTTGACATCACTGACAGCAACACAATAGGCTAACAGGCTGAGAAGGGTGTTTACCAGCACCCCAGTGTCTCCTAACTGCACGAAGCAGTCACATCACTTCACATACATTAAAGTCCCAAGTGTTAGAGATACAGATCCCAAGTGTTAGAGATCATTGCCTAACATCAAGGATATGATCCTGGCAACTGAAATGATGACTTTATGTAAAACATCACAACGTATAATGAAACCACCAAGTCTTTGAATAGTGTGGTTTCTTTCAATATCGCTCATGAATGTTTTTCCTCATCAATATTCTAACAGAATGTTGAATGAATGAATTGATATAATTTGATCACCTGCTGTGCTTGGTATTTGGCAAAGAAAACTTTGAACTGCTATCATAGCTACTCCAAAGGTACCTATTGTGCAAGAGAAGAAAATTGCCCCAGAGAACGCTTGTTCTTTGATTTTACATATTGAAACACACATCTCTGATAGAGCTGTGAGCTTACTGGGGTAGGGTGGGGGTGGGGAAGCAAACACACAAGAAGCCCAAGCTGGTTTACAGGTGGTCAAAAGCCAGCTGGACAAACCAAACTTACAGATTTCAGGATCCCAGTGGCGTCTTCGTGGAGCCATGTGGGGTAGACCACCTCGTCGTTCAGGATGGCCTCAAAGAGGTCATCTTCGTTCTCAGCCTCAAAGGGCGCGTGGCCACACAGCATCTCGTACAGCAACACACCCATTGCCCACCAGTCCACTGCTGGCCCGTACAGCATCTCCTGGAGGATCTGTGCAGGGGAGACAAAGTGAGAAGTGCTCCGTGCATCTGACTAACAAGCATGTCCTTATGACTAAGGGAAAAGACGGCCCAGGGAGAAAAGTTTTAAACAAAGTGATTTTCTGTGCCAGCTTGAATATCTCATTCCATTTCTGGAAGTCGTCTCTTTTCCTAGTGATAAGCCTTCTCACTGAGAAGGTCACCTGCTGAGGCCATGCTGAAAGCACGTGCAGCTCCCAAATAGAAGGGCTTCTGTAATTACATCCATGTAGACAGGAGAGGAGGTTGGACTCACTCCCTTGTGAGCAGAGACAAAGAGGAAAAGAAATTAAGCTTCGTTCAAGACTGAAGCCTAAAGGAACTGCAAAGTTTACAAAAAAGTCTTAATTATATTGAGAGGAACCTAGGACATTTCTAGCCAGCATTCACCAATGAGTCATAATAAAGGAGTTTGGAGGTGTCAGCTTTCAACACCATGCACACAGCTGCCACAAGCGAAAGCAGCCTGTGGTTCCTCTGGTCAGGGGGACTGCAGAACTGGGTTTTCCGAGGTGGCTCCAGCAGGGCACGCACCTCTGGAGCGATGTAGTCAGGGGTGCCACAGAAGGTGGCCGTGGTGATTCCGTTACAGATTCCTTCCTTGCACATTCCGAAGTCGGCCAGTTTACAGTGACCCTCGTGGTCCAACAACACATTGTCCAGTTTCAGATCTCTGAAAGAAAGAAAAAGCAGGGTATGGCAGGGCAGCCCAGCCCACACCCAGCCCCAGACAGGTTGGCGCACAGGTGGGTGAACAGACCGCGGGCCGGTCTGCACATGTTTCAAAAGAAACAGGCTTAGGGTTATTGGATGAAAAATTGAGATTGATTTTAAACTTGCCTCATGGCTCCTGGAAGATGGCTCCTTCCAAACAGGTTGACTGCATAGACACATGTCAGCTGCCCGCAGACGCTGAGGGCACACCATGGGTTCAGGCTTGGACCCATGAAGACCATACCCCTGTCCTCTGTCTTCCATTCTGTCATCTCTCTCTGCCCACTGGAGTCCAGTTAGTGAACAATGATGAAGTCAGTAGCCGCTGTATGCCAGGGACTGACAGGCAGGAAGACTACAAATGGTCTTTACCCCAAAGGAACCCATAGTATAACCAGGAGGTGAACAGTCATTGGACTATAACTCCATGAAGGTAAAATCACATTGATTTGTTCACCATTGTGCCTGCTACAGAGCAATTAATAAATGTTCAAAATAGACACACATACACATATGGTGAGGGGAGAGGAGAGAGAGGGGTTCCTTCCAGTGGGAGGAGAGGGGAACAGTCCATAGAAAGTAGAAACTGAGCTGGTTGTTGAAACATGAGTCGGTTTTCCAGACAGGAAGGAGAATGAGGTCACCATGGGCAGATGGATGGTGCTGGTACATGGGGTAATACGATATGCAGGTGAGCTCAGGAACCCCATGTGTTGCAGCAAGGCTAGAGGGGGGACCTGCATGGGATCAGTGGGACTATCAAAAGTGTCAGGGATAAAGGAATGTTAAGGTGCCACGCTAAGGCATTTTGGTATTTTGATCTTAGGCAAAGGGAGTCCATTGAAGCTCTCTAATGAAGGGAGAAGTGGGTTCCCAGCTGAACAGAAAAGATCAGCTTGGGGTGGCTGAAAATGCCGAGGGACATTCCACACATGAAGTAGGACAATGACAAATGGAATGAAAAATCAGGGGCCAGTGGGCAGTGCTCTGGTGAAGACACAGTGGGTAACAAGGCTGGGTGCTCATTTAGAATAGGAGGCAGAGAGCAAGCAGGCCGATGAGTCCTGGGTTTCTGTCATAAATTCAGTGAGCCAGTGGGGACATTAATAGCCAGGACAAGAGAAAACAGGAGGAAGAACAGGTCTTATTTGGGTGCATTCCAGGTAAACAGAAACTTCAGGAGGCCCAAAGAATCCTGCTGAGACCAAATTAGATACTGGTACTCGCCATCTCTCCTTTAACCCCTAGGAGCAGAATCCATTGGAGGAAGCAACCAGAAGTAGAACTCTTTGGTAAAGACCTCAGTGTAGGCAAGAAGATAATCAGACAATAACTATCTGCAAATAAAAGGGCAAAAACATGCCCTTCCCCAAACAGGCTTCTAGCACCTGCTTCCATATATGGGTATTGCCACAGAAGCAGGTCACTAGGGCAGGCTGGGGAGAGCCCTGTGCGTGGACCTGCTGGCCAGCCACCCATACCCAGCCTGGAGAAGACAGATGAGACCTGTCTAGCAAGGGCAGCACTCATGCTCTGCTTTCTGAGGAACAAGGTGCTCCAGACAAACCACATGGGCTTGTCATGAGGAGTCGCTGCAGCTGGCTGCCAGGGTGTGAGTGTCTAAGGTGTGGCCTTCTCTGGCATGTGGGGCTTTGCCACCAGAAGGTTCGTATTCCCTCACTCTGACACCCTGACAGTGGCTGCTGCCCTGGGATGTCACACCCACAGTGGGCTATGGTGGGCTCTCATATCCCTGCTCTGAGAGCAGAGATCTGTCCAGCCCAGGATCCAGAAAAGGGAAGTGATGACAGGAACTGATGTGGCCAGTTTCCACACCATGCCCTGTGAGTTGATACAGCCTGGCTGCACAGGTCTTACAGAGAGCGGTCACTGGAAGACATCCAGGAGTGAAAATAAAGTCCTGTTTTCCAGGAATCCCAGATAAGTGTCAATCTGGCCCAGATTGACAGGACGCTGCACAGAGCTCCTCTGGGCTTCAGTGCTCCAGGAGTCTCTCTCTGTCCAAGGTGAGGGTGTGCTGCATACCTGTGCACCCACTGCCGAAAAGCAAGTCTTTTGCATCTCTGAACCAAACCCAGTTCACACCCCCGGCCACCTCCTCCCTACTCCTATTTCCTATTTCCTTCACAAGACACAAGCCACTGTTTTCAAAGGGCCATGGTGGGTGCAAACTATTTCCTAGGCTACTGCCTGCACTATTCACACAGCATTTAATCCACGGGAGCACATGGTGGGGGGTGAGGAGGACACGTGAAGGCACCACTGCCAGGAAGAGTCTTTCTCAGTTCCTCCAGACATGGTTGAACTCCTGGGAGGCCCTATCAGTGCCTGTTCATCTGGACCCTCTGGGACTGATGGCAAACGGGAGAGGCTGCAGGCTGAGGTTACAGAGCCCCGGGAGAGAGTAGAGCACTGGGGATCAGGACCAGGCTTTCTTAGCACTGGGTCTAGCCCTGTGTCAAGCCTGAGTGGACCTGTGCCCAGAGCACTCTGGTGCTCTCACATTTCCAAACAAGGTTACGGGGTTTTTGAATCCTCTTGAAGCCGTTATGCCTGCAAAGTGCTCACAAAGAATTTTCTTGGGTAACAGAACAAGTACTAACAGAAACCCACAACAGTCTAAAGCGCTGACCTGTGATTGCTCAAGTTTGTGACTAACATGCTGGGGAAGAGATTTGATTGCTTATTACTCAGCTCATGTCATAGGTAGCAAGAATTGTTCCAGGAGAGAAAAGTGCTTTGCTGTCAGTTTTGCAATTCACCCACCCCAATGCCCTCTGCACAGAGTAGTCTTGGAATGCAGCCCATAGCTCAGAGACAGAACTGAGCAGCACAGGGGATGCCCAAGGGCACAGAGGCAGGTTTTACACCTCAACCTGGACTTTTCAGTCTAATTTTAGACATTCTCAGAAGTCTATGAGCCCCAAAGGAAATGCCACTGATAGTTTATACCAGGTGCTAGCTAATAGGACAACCCTCCAATTAGGATCCCAAGGGGGTTCAATTAAGAGTGTGATAAAATCCTGGACTATCACTTCTGTTCTCAGCCCACACACCTCATACCTGTACTAGGAAGTCTGTTCTTATATTCCCAGGAGTCAACTCTTCCCCTAGAGCACCAAGTTCATACCTCAATGACCTACAGCACATCCTGTATTCCAGAAGGCTCTGTCCATTCACCTGTCTCCTCTATCTGGGGCTTAGTCTTACTCCTCTATCATTCCAGCTTAGTTCTGGGAGAAGAGGTTGACCAAAAGACTCAATAGAAGCATTTCAGATGAAAAACAGTGAGCTATTCTGGCCAATGTAGGGCTTGTTTTATTTTTAGGGGAAAGAAATAGTTTTATAAACCTCTCTGGGACTCTTGTTCCCTTTTTATAATTAAACTTATAAAAAAAACCACGTGCTTTATCATACTGACAGATTCCAAAGGGAAAAGAAAAATTCTGAAATAAAATATATGTTCACATTTTTGCTTTCATGAGGCTGCGGGAGAAAACTGCTTTAGAAGGTTTAGAAGGGGCAACAATAAAACAGATGACCAAAGTGTAATATTGTCTGCTGGCTGGCATCCAGAACATTGAGAGGGCCAGCCAAACACATCCAAGGTCACAGAGCCATTTATGGCCCTGGTCAGTTTCCATTTTTAAGGGCAAATCATTGTCTCTATTTTAAAAAATAACTAAAAGCAAAAAAATTCACTTTATGACTCCTGACTCTAATTTGAAATACACAGTGGCCAGTTTTCAGCTTTTGAGTCCCTCAGCCTCTTCTGCCAACATGTAACTCAGCAGCCAAACTTAACAAGGCTACACAAGGAAGATTACAAGTTCATACAGGGTAGAAACTCAGAACCCAAAATGCCAAATACACAATTACAGGCTCATCGTTCATTAGCTCACTGAGTATTTAATAGCTATGCCTTTGTCATGCAAGCATAGGAGGGTGGACAAGAGTTATTTTATCCTTTCTGGGTTCCTGAAAGGTACATTGTTCTTGCTGGGTAATCAGGGGTTACTTAAAATGCCCAACAGTAGTTTCAGAAACCATTCCCAAGAGGTTGAAGACAAAGGAAACTCAGAAATTGTATTTGCTACCATGGGCTATTCTGGGAGTAATAAAATAGAATGACATGAGTTGTATTGCGTAGATTACTGGAATCAGTTACTCTTCCAAAAAATAAAAGTCATTGAATAAGAACAAATTGAAGAAGCTATTCAGTAGCCACTTAAAGTGTATTTAAAAAATATTTTAAAGACAGACAAATGCAAAGTGACTACTCTGACCCACAGTGATCATGCAGTGCGAGTTCTCCACACAGGCCCCAGCTTATTCTACTACTAGATTTAGACTCCTTCTGAATCCATCTTTTCCACACATTTTAAAACAAATCCAAGACATAAAATCATCTCTATGAATACCTTCGTATCTGAATCCAAAAGACAATTATTTAATAAAGTACAACTTTGATATTAGTTATCATAAAATACATACAATCTGCTACCCATAAGTATATTAATTTTTATCTGTTTCATCAACTGGGGTTTGTGTGTGTGTGTGTGTGTGCCCCCTCAAGCAAGAAGCTTCCTGAAAGAAGCTTCACAGTATCACTAATAGCTAACATATGTTGAACATTCACCAAATGCTAAGTGCTTTATCCATGTATATATGTTTTATTATTATTGTTAAGGTAACACAACAGTGTTGGTTTACAACATTCTATACGATGCAGAAATACAGCATCCCACCTCTTCAGATGTATGCTACCACACCATGCCCACCACAAACACTAACAAACTAATATATAACAAAAGGATTAGCATGCAGATGCATTTTTCACACCAGTATTTATTCATATTTTATCCTCAAAGCTACCCGATGAAGTAGGATCACGCAGTTCACTAGCCAGGTGTCAAGTCTGGATCTGTCCTCAGGTAG